TGTGCCATCTCACAGTTCCATCCCTTATCTTTCCATCCCTTAGAGCACAGCAGCATCCGAAACAAAATAGAAAGTTCTTTATTTGTAAAAATTCATTTGTTTAAATGATTCTTCACCTTTCCACATCAGGGCAGTGTAATAGGCATCCTCTAAGATGGCCTCCAATAAACACTGCCTCCTGTGTTCATGTTCTTGTAAAATCCCTCCCCCTGGACTGGATTTAATGGCTCACTCCTAGTGAAGATAATTCATTAGAAGGGATGGGAGGTCACTTCCAAGACTGGGTTATGAAAAGACCATGACACCCATCTTGGTCACTCTCATGCTCTCTCTCCTCATCCTCTCTGAGGAAAGCCAGCTTCATATTAGCTTCATATTATGAGAGCCCTGTGGAGAGGCCCACAGGGTAGGGACATGAAGGAGGATTCTGGTCAACAATCAGAGAGGAAATGAGGTACTCAGTTCAGTATCCTGAGAAGTACTGAAATTCTGCCAACAACCCTGACACGAATGAGCATAAAAGCAAATCATTCCCCAGTTAAGACTTCAGGTGAGATTGCAATCTTGTGAGAGCCCTTGAGCCAGAAGTACCCAGCTAAGCTGGGCCTGTCTTCTTCATGCACAGACACTGCATGATAATCAATATTTGATGTTTTCAGCTTCCAAGTTTTCAGGTAATCTGTCACATAGCAAGGGATAATTAATACAGAGAGTAAAGAATTACACTAAATTATAAAACTCTAAATTATATGGTGTTACCCCGTGAGTTTGGTCCTGTAACAAAACAGTTTGGTCTAGGCTTTACTCTGCTTTTCAAAGCAGAAAGAAGCGTTGCATTTCTTTCTTTAGTTTTGTTAACTTCCTCAATTCCAAAAATACTTATTAAGTACCTGCAATATAGAAAGAACTGCTAAGGTATCTGGGAATACAACAGTGACAAAAGCAGAAATACGTTCCAGGTCCAGTTCATGGTGGATTAGCATATATCGAACAATAATAAATATAAGGGAAAATATCTGAAGTTCTCTGAAAGCCCAGGAGAGTGACCAAAAGCAGACCAGACCTGAAGATTGGAACCCTGAA